AAAATTGAAAAAAGTGGAAACGTAAATCGACTCCCAGATGATACTATATAAAATATTTTCCACAGTAAATAACGAAACAAGAAACTGTTCGATAGTCAGACACACCGGATGCCTGTTGCATTAATGCGAATCTTTATTCCTGTGAGCCTGTCGTGTCAAAACTTTTTATTTTTATTTTTTTCTCTCTTTTCTATTGCAACAACTATCGACTAATACGGCCGATATCGAATTTCCACGCGGTTGTAAGTAGCGCATTGCTTGCCGAGTATTCGATTTATGTATTGCCGACCTCTTGCCACTCGATGCCGTTAAACGAGTCGGCATTCGCGTGCGAACGATTATTAATTAATAATCCTTCCGGGACGGGTTGCGGGTTTACTGTCGATGTGTGTTAAGTATATAAATGTGTGTGTGTGTATGTGATCAGTGAGGAAAAAATTGTTTTTTTTTTTTTTTTTTTAAATCTATGTGTGTGCGGATGCAAACTGTTTCGCCATTTGCTATAATCGAGGAAAATCTCTTTTCTCTCCTCTTCTTTCTACCGACGATTTATCGCGATGAACAATGCGTCATGCCGAGATTATTAATCACCTTGTGAATCTTTCTACCTTTGCTAGTTCTATACCACGCAAACGATAATATATGTACATTCGCGCCGACACATTTTGCTCACAGGCGTAGCCGCGCGCGCGTATACACTTTTTTTTTATTATTATTTTTATCAGAACCACAGGGCAATAAAATTATAAAGTTCAATTTAAAATCCCTTTCCAGATATATTGTTTTCATTATATAAAAAAGGAAATCTTCTAGTTATCTATAATTTTGTACGAATATTCGTAAAAATAATTTTATTTTCAAAATAATTTTTTTGACAAATTTTTTATTTAGCAGAATTTTAAGTGATATTTTTAATATGTAAAAATTTCTAATTCTACAATTATTTCTAAACGAAAAGAATTTTCAAATGATAAATAATATATTTAATTTTAAATTAATTCAAAACTGAAATGTTAATTGTAATTTTCACACACGAGTTCTTTTTTATTCGCAAGATTTATATATTATATATATATATAGTATTCCATTAAAATGATATTTTATTATTATTTCTTCCACTTCTGCATTTACCAACTTCATAATTTCTCTCTTAGCTTAGAATTAATGATGTCAGGAGGGATTTTTTTGCAATTTAAAAAGCAACTTTCGTTATCTATATAATTCCGATTAATATTTAAATAAATATACATATAAAAAAAAAATGAGTAAGAGACATTTTAACTTAATCGACTCTATAGTATTATTATCTATACAAATAATTATAATTGTATTTATATTTTCCATTTAAAAGTTTATTGGTTTTTGCAACATTTTGTTTACTTTTTTTTTTTATTAACTATTATTTGCACTATAAGTGATAAAAAAAAGCACTTAGAGAAGTTTAAAAAAAAAAATTAATGTATATATATATACTTTCGTAAAAGAGAAAGTATATGATCGGATATTAATTAAGCGAGAAAAGCAAAGGTTGTCTTCAGGACGGTAAACACATCCCAAAAGGAATTTTTCATAATTTTATTGGCTGTGGTAATTAACAGCAGTCAACTTCTCCGATATTAATTATGGTTCACACACAACTTTTTTATATAACACGCATAGTTGGGTAGTTAATTTTTTTTTCCTTTGCACGAAAAAAATTCGGAAAAATCGGGATTTTTTTCATATTTATTATGGCAATATGTTATATGAAAATTTACAATGTAATTTGTTAATTTCTTCAAAGATTTAAGATATATAAATATATTTATAAAAAGCCATTAAAGTGTATGATGATATCATTAAAAATAATGTTTCAAGATAAAAGAAAAAAAAAGGGGAGGGCACTTATAAAAGAAAGTCGATTGATGACTCGAACTTGTAGTTTATTTCCGCTTTTAACGCGATCTATTATGCGAGATAGCTATTGTTTTCCTTTGCAATCAATTATTTATTTTTGAATTTATTATTTTGCTAAAAGTTTTTTTTTTCAAAATTATATTAATATTTTCCAAGTGGGGGTTATTTTTATAATTTAACGGCATTCCAAAACGTTTCTAGAAAAAAAGAAAAATTTTATACTGATGTTCCGCATGAACATATAAAATAATGTAAAAGCTATTATCTGAATTATTACACAGATACGGCCACCAGTTTGTAATAAAATGTGTACGCACCATAAATGATATTATTTTAGTGTCGCAATTTCCCTTTTCTATATCATCATTTTATTTATTAAAAATAAAAAACAGAATATTTCTCTCAGAAACGACAAATTTTTTTTTTTTTTTTTTTTTTATTGACAATTTTGTTGCCAAAATAATTTTCTACAGAACAAGAAAATATTTTCCAACCAAAACTTTTTGTAATAAATTTTATATTTGAAAAAAAATAAATAAAAAAAGGAACTATTGATGTTATTGTGAAACTCTAAATAAAAAGGAATGCATAAAGTTATGACATGATATGACATGTAATGCATACAAGATATGACATGTAATATAAAAATTCCTTTTTTTTTTGTAGTTTCAACATTCATGCGTTTAAGGCCATGCCAAAGCGATTGAGGGCACACCTTTATGCTTCTTTGAACTGCTAAACTTCGAGAATGAAAAACAGCACGTTCGACGCGTGAAACGTCGAACGATGAGAATATTGAGCTCATAAATTACAGACTCGTTTTACCGAGTTGCACATATATACATGCATATATATATATGTATACGCACGATGTGCAAAACGGAATTCGCATTCAAGTCTGGAGACATTCGCAAAAACAAGAAACTTCCAGAATGCACCACACGAAGTTATATTAATATTCAAAACTCCAGTCACAACTAATTTATGCTTTAACACTTTTATTTCTTTTGCGTATTATTGAAAATATACTAAAAATTTTACATTTTACCCACTTCATTAATTTATAATAATTTAATTAAAAATAATTTTTTTTTTTTAAATTAAAAAACCGGAGAAATATAATATTCAAATGCATTTTACCTCATTAGCATCAAGTGGATCTTTAGAGAAGGGAAAAAAAAAATGAAAAATTAATTGCTCTTCACCGCTGGAACCTTGTTTGTTTTTAAACGAAAATCTATTGCGCTTTAGTTTTGCTCAATCCGCACGACTATATAATAAGATGTTAAGTTTAAGACACAAATTCACCGTAATGTTCAAACTCCATATAGCCTAATACAGTTTAAGTCATTAACAACATTTCAGGTGATAGTCTCTAAAGATTAAGCTTTACATTGTATGTGCTCGCTTATAACTAGCGAGCGTAAATTGAATTGAAAGTGATTCTGGATATACATAAGCATAATACAAAATGAGATTGCAGAAAACGCATCCAAGAAATACAGATAACAATCTGCATTCTTCTCCTTCTATTATTATTTTTTTTTTTTTTATCATTCGACTTCAATATTATCATTCTTGATAACGGTTTTTCAAATCTGTTTTCAAAATCTATTGTTGTTTGAAAAATAAGTTTTTGCCTTTTTTTAAAATAAGATTAATGTATAATGCAGATTTAAAGCTAATATAAATCTAATATAATCTGTAACAGATTTTCAAAATCTGATGCAATTTTTACATATATCTATAACGGATTTAAAATCTGATGCTTTGACACTTATTTTTTAGAAACATTTACATGGATGATAACTGTAACAATTCCAATCTAATCTATTTCTAATCTATTCTGATTTAACACAAACCTAATTGTAACAGATTTTGAAAATTTGACCCAATTGTTTTTTTTAAAATCGCTTTTGAAGCCATCTGTTATTTGTCAAATAAATATTTATAGAGAAATATTCTGCCTACGTTTTTTTCAAATCGTAAGATTAATATATACAACCAATGCAGATTTAAACCTAATATGAATCTAATATAATCTGTAACAGATTTTCAAAATCTGATGCAATTTTTACATTTACCTCTAACGGATTTAAAATCTGATGCTTTGGCACTTTTTCAGAAACAGATGATAACTGTAACAAGCCTATTTTGATTTAACCCAAATCTAATTCTAAAAGATTTGGAAAATTTGACCCAATTGTTTCTTTAAAATCGATTTTCAAACCGTCTTGTTTGGAAAATAAATATTAATTGCGAAATGTTTTGCCTACGTTTTTTCATATCGGAAGATTATACACAATTAATGCAGATTTAAACCTAATTTGTTCTAATCTGAATCTAATCCGTAATGGATTTGCAAAATTTGATACAATTTTGATTTATCTGTAACGGATTTTTGAAATCTGATGCTTTGACACTTATTTTTCCGAAACATTTACATGAATAATAACTGTAACAAGCCAATCTAATCTAGTTCTAATCTATTCTGCTTTAACCCAAACCTAATTGTAACAGATTTTGAAAATTTGACCCAATTGTTTTTTTTTAAATCGCTTTTGAAGCCGTCTGTTATTTGGCAAATAAATATTTATAGAGAAATATTCTCCCTACATTTTTTCAAATCGTAAGATTAATATATACAACCAATGCAGATTTGAAACTGATTTCCATAACGGATTTCCACAACCAATACAGATTCAAAACCTGATATACATAACGGATTTCCAAATTCTGATGCAATTTTGACATATATTTAATTGTTATAAAAGAAATAAATTTTAAAAAAAACTGGAATCATCACAATTCGAAAAGCACAAAAGAACTAATCAAAAATTTTTAGAATATTAAAAAATATTTAAAGAATATTTTCAGTCTAAAGGTATAAATTTCAGAGCCTAAAATAGACGCTTAACAATCGGTATATATATATATATGTATTGAATTTTAGTTATATATATACTCGAAGGGAAGTGAAATGCAATCTCATGGGTTTAGCATTAAGTTTCCACCCGCTGATAATAACCCCGCCCGAGAGAGAGAGAGACCTAGGATGAAATACTCTGTAATTAAGGTTTTGTAAGATTTTATTTTTCACTGACCTTCTTGAGGTGACCCTTGTTCGTGCCTAGGAAGACGACCGTGTAATCACTGGTGGAGGTCGCCGCCACTGCAGTGAGATGAGTTGTAAATGTTAAAACAGGTACCGCCGCCATTGGCTCTTGACCGCCTAAAGGTGTGTTCACGTCGAGGCCGCAGAAATCTTCACCGATAGTATGCAGCTTCTGAAAAATATCAAACGGGAAAACGTTAGATCGATCGACCAACACTTTGCCAATTATATATATATATATATATATATATATAAACATGCATATAGAATGTCGTCGGAACATTCTCAAAGCAAAGTACCTTTCAAAGGTATTAATATAAATTTCAAATCAACTTCTGTCTAAAAGCACCTTTTCACTTCTTTTTTTTTTCTTTCTCCATTTCCTCATCACTGAAGGTAAAAAATTTTTATTTAAAAATTATACAAAAAAAAAAAAAAATTGTTGTTGCTACCAAACAACTTGGATAAGGAACTAAATACGTTAAAAGAGTTTTGATCCTCAGCTAAATGGGGTTCGTGTCTATGCTGAAATTCTAGGGATTATCATCTCTTGTTATTGATATTATCTATGTATACAGATACTTTGCCTCCTTTCTTTCTGGCTCTAAAAGTTAGTATGAAAACAGTTTTGGTAATGTTTAAAAGAATTTAAGAATTAGCAATGATTATTTTAAGGATATGAAATTAGATACATATGTAACAAAAAAAAAAAAAAAAAAAAGATAAATAGAGATGGAATACATGGGAGTGTAATACTTGTTTTCGCATGGTTAGCAGAGTATATATATACAAGTATCGAATGACTCTAGTTCGTAGGCGATCCGTTATTGTTGCTATTCCTTTCTACCGATAATAAACGAGCCATGATACTATCACAAATCTCGATCTTCCCAGGCCACTCACGTTGTGCTCCATCATTTTGATCTCTAATCGCATCTGTTTTGATCAAAATCGATTTTAAACCACGGTAACAAATACTTTACTTTTTTTTTTTTAAAAAAAAGTAAATGTTTCTAAATAAATTGTTACCCAAAAAAAAATCTTTATCGTATTATGTATAGAGTATTAATTAGTTATATTAGTCAAACAAGTATTAAGATAATATTTTCTCACAATGCTCTAATTTCTATAAACTATATATATATATGATATCATTTTCGCTTGAATATCCCTCAAATTGAGGATCTAAAACAAGCGGAGTTATTATCATCGAAAGTTGGCGCGAGTCCAAAATGGAATTTCCCGTGATGGGTCTGTTACACGAGAGAATACATCCTATTAATTTTTCATTCACTAAAAAAAAATTCACAAATTTTTGAATAATAATTTGTGAATACTTTGGTAAGAAGGTAAAAAAATTTTTGTCTCTATTTTAAAACTCAAGATAAAAATATCTTGGGATTTTTAAAATAAATTCAAATAGCAGCTGCTTGCGGGAAAGTAACGATTAGATTGGATGACTCAAGGTAGTTATATAGTCTATAGGTGGCTGTGAGAGTTGAAAAGCAAATCTTGTGGAAAAAGTGAACTATCAACTTGACGGGTGACTCGAGGAATGGCACGACATGTAACTCGAGATATATATATATATATATATGTGTGTGTATACGTGTATGTATGTATATATATATATATATATATATATATATATATATACACCTACGCTTTGGATAATGCACCTACGAAGAAGCAAAACGTCCATCGAAGGAACGAATGGACTGAACGAGAGGCTCTAGAAAGGGTTAAAGGGAGTAGGAGTCAACTCTATTTACATTCCTTATGGTACGTTCTCCGCTCTGTATACTCTGCCAAACAATTATTTGCATTCCTTGCTCTATACGAAAAGGATTGCTGTATATGTCCCCTAACAGATTATAAGGAAGGGCGTTGAATCAGCTGCACGTGTCCTCTTCTTTTTTATATATATATATATTCAAACAGTAATTATTATTTTGCGGTGACAAACGATGATAATTATAATTACCAAATAATAATTATAATTGTGGAATTATAATAATTAAGTATTATTATTACAAAGGCAAACAAAATTTGGTGCGTACTTCAAAACCAAGAACCATACAAATCCGAAAGTTTAAAAAAGACTTTTTTAGACCATATGTAACATCAAAAGATAATTTTTTTTCCAAAAATATCGGTACATTATCTGAAAGTACTATTCTTACGGTTTGAAATGCATTTTGAAACATTAGAATATCTTTATTTGGCTCCGAGTTATTGTCATTTGGATTTTTGAAATTAATCTAATTTTGAAAAATTATTCAAAATCAGAAAATTCAAATGACGATAACTCGGAGTCAAATAAAGATTTTTTAAAATTTCAAAATGCATTTTAAAGCGGAAGAATTGTACTTTCAGATGCTATACCGACTTTTTTTTGAAAAAAATTATCTCTTGATGTTGCATAGGGTCCAAAAATGTCTGTTTTAAACTTGCGGATTAATCTGGTTCTAAAGTAGGCGCAAAATTTTTTCGACCTCTATTATTATAAATATTGAATAAAATTCTAATATAGAGGAAATGAAAATGTAATAGAGATAACAATAAGACATAAGAGAAGATAGGAAACTTGATCTGTTTTCAATAAACACTTCTTAACATTTGAGTGGAATAATTCGAAGAAAGGGAGGTTCACTGCTATAAAACAGGTGTCCTTGCCATGAGTCAATATGTAATTAATACTCAGATCAAAGGCCACAAGCTGACAAGTATAGCTGACATGGCTAATTATCAAATATGCCAATAATTCACCTCTCCGATGACGAAAAAAAAAACCAAAACCCTTCTTTCATCATCACAACCCTTTTCAAAAGCAAATGCCAACGATAAATGTAAATAGAGTTCTTTTTTTTTTAATTACAACACACCTCCATTAATCTCATTTATATTGAACCCATTGATTATTTAACTTCCATTCATGTGACGATGTTTTTCAAAGAAGAACTCAACCCCTCTATATTTAATTCATTAAAACTGTTACCTAAATAAACATTACGAGAACAAAGTTTCACGAAGGATAAATTTTTTGCTGAAAATTAAAACTATTTGCAACAATAAAAAATTTATTTGAAGTAAATATTAATTTTTCTCTAAGAGTTAGAAATATATCTACTTTTGTGGTTGTGGATTTTTTGATATAAATTAAAAAAAAGAAAATTTTAATCTTTAGCATTGTTAGTTTCAGTTTAAACGTTTGCGTGTTTAAGCGCTTCTAAATTATGGGCATGATGCTTCCTAGTATTTATATATAATTAAATAGAATTTCCTTCCTCGTAAAGGGAAACATGCAAATTGCATATTATTTACAGCAGTGAAGTTCACTATTTTAATTGATATTTTTTTTTTCTTTCTTTTAAATAGTAATTTCATATTTCAAAACATAAACTTCAACCTCATCTGCTAATTAAAGTTAAGCTAATTGGACAGCTTTAAATAAACATGGAACTTGCAGTAAGTGCAATTTTGCTGAATGTTGATTTAGTTTCTTCCATTCATTCAAAATGTTGTGTTTCATATATAACTCTCTCCTGTTATTCCTGAGATTTTATCTCGAAAATTTAAATTTTTTGGTCCATTGCACATTGGATGCTGTTGGTCCTATCAAAAAGTGTTCTGAACATTTTTTTCTGTAAAGCACTATCTAGGGATAACTCTTCTGCTATGTCCGGGAGTTTATCTCGAAAATTGAAAAATTCAAAATTTTTGGTACATTGTAGGTCGGATGCTGTTGGTCCTAACAAACAGTATCCGATATATTTTTTGTAGATAATTGTTTTTATCTCGCAAATTAAAAATTTCTAAATTTTTGGTCCATTGTAGCTCGGATGCTGTTGGTCCAATTAAATAATATTCTGTACATTTTTTGTAAAAGACTATCTGGGGATAACTCTTCGGCTATGTCCGGTAGTTTATTTCGAAAATTTCGAAATTTTTGGTCCATTTTGGTCTATTGTAAGTCGGATGCTGTAGGTCCTATCAATCAATACACCGTACATTCTTTGTAGAGAATTGTCTTGGAATAACTCTTCTACTTTGCTCGAGAGTTTATCTTGAATATTAAAAATTTTCTAATATTTGGTCCATTATGGTCCATTGTAGGTTGGATGCTGTTGGTCCTATCAAACAGCATCCCGTACATTTTTTGTAAAACTTTCCACTTTGGTCCATTGTAGGTCGGATGCTGTTGGTCCTATCAAACAGCATCCCGTACATTTTTTGTAAAATTTTCCACTTTGGTCCATTGTAGGTCGGATGCTGTTGGTCCTATCGATAAGTGTTCGTTAAAATTTAATTTATCGAAATTTTTTTTTTCCTCCTTGGTCCATTGCAACTCGGATGCTGTTGGTCCTATCAAAAAGTGTCGCACACATTTCTTATAGAAAATTGTCTTCTGCCAACAAGCGTCGTATGTACATATCTCTTAAATTTAAAGAATCCGAAGAAAAAAATTGTATGGCATACTTAGAACACTTTTAAAAAATTTAAAAACCTTAATATTACTATTATGATAATTCCAATGTCAGTCACATTTATTAAAATAAAAAAAAAAAATTGCCTTGCAGTTAAGAAAAATAGAAATAAATTATTTAAACTCTTTCGTTTTATTTTTACTTTTATTATAAAGCACTGGAAAGATAATGAAATCTCCTTTTTTTATCGTTTATTTTAATAAAACAAATAAAATTTTTATTATTACAATTTTCATAAATTTTTTTAAAAAAATTTTCAAAATTATTTTTATACTATTTAAATTTTCATAATTCATATATATATATTAAAATAGAATTAAATTTTTAATAAAAATTGTTTTTAATTTTTAAAAAAATGAGATTTAAATATATAGGTATATATTACAAAAGTGAGATTAAAATAAAATAAAGAAGATGAATTGTGACGGCTATTGGGATTAAATAATAATTATTAAACATTGTCAGTATGATATACACATGAATATGATTATATTATATGATTTTTTTTTTCCAAAGAGAATTTGCCTAGCGGCAAGGTGTTCCTCTCAACATAAAATCGCACGAAGATCAATTTCCTTCTCGATTATCCTTTCCTCGCGAATTATACGAATTATCGCTGGAATTATTATCTGGAGACAGCTGTGGAAGCCCAATGAAAGGGACGTTTTCTCTGTTGCACACACAG